GCAGACGGACGGCTGGTCAGGCCTGTGCCTCAGTTTCCCCATCTACAAGTGGGTGGTTGTACCGGGCATACGAAGAGCCCTGTGGCTGTTTCCGTGCTCGTGGCTAACTCTCGGCCTTCCCGGTGCCCCAGGGGGTGGGCAGGCGCGGCCCCGAGTCTCAGGGGCCTCCGTTCTTTCTCCACCGGCGTGTCCAGTTTCCCTCATGCATCCGGGACACTCCCGAACCCTGACCCTCAGTCCCCTTCACCCCATAATCTCTACCATTGAATCTCAGCCTAAAATTACTTTCTCGGAGAAACCTCCCCTCGGCCTCTTCATCTGAAACCCAGAGCGTTGGGCTCATGTGCGTGGCTGCGGCGGGTGCACGTCCCTGTCCCGTGAGTCGCAGACCCCGGAGGTCAGAGGTCGGAAGTCATCGCTGCCTGGCTTGCCCGCGTCCCCTAGCGCACTGCCAGCAGGTGCCTGGGGCCGGCTTTGTGAGCCTGCAGCTCCCGTTGGCCCACCCTCCGTGTGAGATTGCTTCAAGGCTTAGCCTCCTGCCCTGGCCGGTGTGCTGCAGTGGTTAGAGCATCGCGGGTGCACAGAAGGGCCGCGCGTTCCATTCCCGGTCAAGGGCACGTGCCTGGATCGCAGGTTCGATCCACGGCCCTGGTCAGGGCGCGTGTAGGAGGCAACCAATTGGTGTGTCTTTCTCTCTCCCCCCTGCCTCCCCTCCCATTCTCTCAAAATCAATGGGGAACATACCCGCCGATGAGGATTTATAAAAACAAACACAGAAACCCCACCTCCCCCAGGAAGCCTGCCGGGACCCTGCCCGGATTCGGATGCGGACGTTTCGTCTCTGCTTCTCCTGCCTTTGCTGGGCCGTTCTCCGCTGAGCCCTGTCATTTGTCCCTGAGCCCTGCCTTCCGATGACTTCTGACCTCCGACCTCCGACCTCCGGGAACTCACTTATTCTGCAGAGCTTTACTGGGCGCCTACTGTGTGCGGGCGGAGTCTGGGTGCTGGGAAAGCGTGGGAGCGGCGCACGGGCACT